GTCCCCAACACCCCGGCCGCTTGGCTAGCTCATGCCCGAAATAACAACACACAAACTGTATTCATTTAAGAACTGCTTGGCCCATGAACTCTAGCCCTTACAGGCTAATTCTCGCACCTGGACTAGCCCATTTCTAATAATGTGTGTAAGCACCCCAATGTGCGCTTACCGGGAAGATTCTAGCCTATGTCCATCCTGGGTTTGAGGAACTTCATTGTGTGCATCTGCCAGGGACAGCAGAGCATGGCGTCTCTCCAGGAGCAGAGCAGAGTCTGACCTCACTTCCTCTTCTGCCCAGCATCCTATTCTGTTTATTCCACCCACCTATGTTCTAAGCTATGAGGCCAAGCAGTTGGTTTATTATAATTAACCAATTACCTTCCTCCATCAATTCTCAAATACCCTTTTTACACACAAACCCAATAGAAAGCAGGATACTTCTGTATTATCTTCCTATACAACGAATGCTGTTTGAAATAGGGTCTCACTGTGTTACCTGGCTTGGGGACAACCATGGTGTGAGCAAGTGTCTTCCTGGACATTGCACCACCTGCTCAGTTGGTGGCAGGGGACTTAATTGACCTTGAAAAGTGACATTAAATCCAGTCCTCATGCTGAGTTTAGAAGAACCAGGCAGCAACCTTTAGCTATCTGGATGAATGCACTGTTACCTTGCAATGAAATGTTTATGTGCCTGTTAATATCAGAAATGTGCTTAATTATTTGATGCCTTTTAGACTATTTGATGATGTAGGTCTTAGACTGGTTAAGACTAATCATATCCAGTTTATAGTTCTGGGACTTAATTAATTTGTACACTCCATATGGAATTTGAAGAAGAAAATCTTTCAAGTTAATGGGCTAGTTTTATGTTTAGTCAGTGCTGGGAAACATATCACATTCTATACCTTCCTGCGACAGATCACTGGAGGAGAGGTTATGAGGGATGTAACTAGGGTGTACATTCTATTTAAAGTGTGCTTTTAATGAACCTGGTTTTCCTAGACAGAATGATCCTGAGGGCCCAGAAAGGGTGGCAGTGGAGGTAAGGGTATCTTCTCTCAAAGAAAGTGACTGTAGCTATCCTGGCAGCTACTATGCTTTCTAGACAGACACCCATGTCTCTCCCTTTGTCTGTCAGACCACTGAAGAAATGATTCCCCACAAATTGGAATTTTCCCAAAAATCTCATGCTGAGGAAAAGAAAAGGTATGAAGTCTTGTGCCAGTCAGAGGAGGACCTGGTGTGCCAGACAGGAATTTTATGCAGTTCTGACAACTTATTAGACCACCTTGCAGGGAAGACTGGAGCTGAGATCATGGTGTGTTAGTGAAGGCTATGGCACACCCTGACTTGGATGCCTTATGCACACTCTTGGCCTTTTATTTACATCTCAGCTGGATGACAAAATGCTGAAGATGAACTTAGGGTGGGATGAGAGCAGGGCCTGGAAAAAGTGGTTTTGGGTGTCTTTGTTCTCATCCCAGTATGACCACATTGAAAAATCAGTCTCTCTTCTCTCTCTCCCTCTCCCTCCCTCCCTCCCTCCCTCCCTCCCTCCCTAAAAAGCCACAACTTCACAGGCATGCAAATTTTTATCCCCACCTCAGATCAGTTTCTTTCCTCTACAAGCTCCTGCCAAAGTCACTGTCCTCCCTTGCAATCTCTGCTTAGCTGTCTCTGCTGTGGATGCTCTCACCGCCACACTCTTAGTCCACTCCTGGGTTTATGCGTTGCTATGGGTGAATAGAAATCCATCTCCAGATCCCGTCTCGTTTCTCTGATCCCTGGAACATG